GTGATCTTTTGTGTAAGTCCCTCAGTCACGCAAGCCGGACTGGATAGTGTATACTGTATAATGTTTTGGAAGACAGTTTGCAACTCCAATAAAGATTAGGCTTCAATCACAGCTGACGACCAATTACGGTGCGGTTACAGATATTTTCGGCCAACACGGACTCGCACTCCCTGCGTCATCTGTACCTGGATGAGCCAATCACCGCTCGGTTCGTTCGGATCCATGTGATGGAGTGGCACGGACACCCCAGCCTGAGGATCGAGCTCATCGGATGCCAGGGTAAGTTGCAATCCATGGCGAACATACAGTGTGAATATGCAGCCGGTCTGGGAGGGCCGAACTAAATACGAAGCATTGGCTCTTTACACGCGATGAGTCGTAAAGCACCGTTCGGTTGAGACCAACGCATGCAATTATCCGCGCGCAAGTTCCTCCCCGTCGCAAGATTCGTGTTTGATGCAACATATAGGCAGTTGAATAGGTATAGTTATCGGTTGTTCGAAAGCTATAATCAAGCAGAAATCAATCATCATTGGCGATATACTTAATTGTATTTCGTCAACATAATGAGATACAATCCGTTCAGGTGCAAATTGTGATGGGAAAGAAGTTCTTGCAAGCCTTCCCTGAGTTAATTCAAATTTGTATTGCAAACGAGAGTTTGAAGCCAAACAAGTGTGCAACAGTTGTTTTCCTGCCATATACAGCAGTAGAGTTATTTATTCATTGCGTTTATTTTGAAACTCGATTCCTTATCCCTCGCCGGCCGAGGGGGGGGGGGGGCGGGTGCCGCCTTCCCCATAGGGTTTTTTCGCGATAGCTCCGAACACGCTGGCGATAGAGGGCTGAAACTTGGCATACCTGACCTTTGATCCAAGCCGGATCTTTTGACACCAACCGCATTTTTGGGTCAGGTCAGGTCACTGACCTATGACGTCATAAGTGAACCTCTGCACGGTCTTCAGATGTCGCAACTTCGCAACGCCCTCACTGCCAGAGGAGATGTCACAGGGAAATGAAACTTGCAGGATCTAGTATCCATTATGAGTCCCACAACTTGTATATCTCGGATTTTTCCTAAAGGTCATATGAGGTCAGGTCATTCTCGTGACCTCACCATTATAAGTCAAGGGGGAAAAATTCAAACTGCTATTCTGGAGCCGGGAACGATCTCCAACTATCTCAAGCACACAGAATCGTGATTTGATGCACTCCTTGCAAGGTTAGATGCGTCACTTTTGCAATGTTGACCTTGCGTGACGTCATTTATGACGTCATCAAGGTCATATTAGTTTTTCGTCAATAACTCTTGATCAAATTGAGCTAGCGAGTCGCAAAAGCCACCAATGGACTCAGGAAGACCTGCCGAATCGAATGATATGCGATATGACCTCTTTCGACCAACTTCGTGACCTGGGGGTGCTGACCTGACCTTGACCTGAGGTCAACACCCCAAGTTGACCTGACCCGGACAAAAAGTATATCATTCGACGCGCCTGAGCGAGACGAACACGATGCTGCCAAAATCGGCGCTCTGCGGCCGTTTTTTGCGAAGCTATTCACCAAAAACTGAACCGTACTTTGGGCAACTTGACCTGACCTCAGAGGTCACCGGTTGACCTAGGACCTTAAAATCGGGTACCAATCTCTGCGTCTCGTAACGGCGCACACGCTCGTTTTTTCCGCGACGCGCTAGCTCCACCAGGGGCGAAACGGCGAGGGGGGGTCGTACCCGCCCCCCCCCCCCTCGGCCGGCGCGTATGTAGAAAACCAATAGGTCCGGCGAGGGTTATATTTCGGAGTGTTGGTAGCTCTTTATTGCCGTGCTTAAAATGGCGTCAGCTAAGTATTTCGCATTCAGTACGTAGGTACGTCAGTGTCGTCAGCTGAAAATTGCCCTCTTTCATAGTGCCGTCAGCTGACAGTTGCTTTGTTCCAGAGTGTCGTGACGTTAGCTGATACATACTCTGTTTCAGAATGTCTTCAGCTGATTATTACCGCTGTTTCAGAGCGCCGTCAGCTGACGATTTACCCTGTTTCAGAGTGTCGTCAGCTGATTATTACCCCGTTTCAGAGTGTCATCAGCTGATTAATCCATTTTTCAGAGTGTCGTCAGCTGATCAGCGTGCCTCCGCACGCCAAAGTGACGGCCTCCAGCTCTCCGCGGTGGAGAAGGAAGCGCTCCTGTCAGCCCGAGGACGGGGTCATCTTCAGCAGCTCGGCCTGGTGCTCCAGACACAAAAACAGTAAGAGATATATGTCAACATCTGCAATTAATTATCCCAACATTTCTATTTTCTTTAATCTTTTGTAAAAAGAAAAATATGCAACTAAAATTGCAATTTCACTGGAATGATATCTATACTATATCAAACATAAGAATGCATATATTTTCCACTTGACAACTTGTCAAGACAAGTGCAAATATGGGGCATCGTTCTAAGTCACTAATTGCTTTCAGGGAACCAGTGGCTGCAGTTTGACTTTGGCCCTCCGAGAAAGGTGACCGGCATCGTGACCCTGGGCAGAGGAGACGGCAGACGCAAGCGCTTCGTCACCCAGTACAGCCTATCCTACAGCAACAACAGCGTCGTCTGGCATTTCTACAAAGACGACAACCACCTCGACCCCAAGGTCGGTCCTAGCACAATGTAGCTAGCTTGCAAGCCGATCCTGGCTGATCTACTCGTTCTGTGTAGTGGGAAGATCGCCAGTGTTTTAGACAACAGTGCCGTCATCTGACTGCCCTGGGGCTGTTCCGTCCAACTGACCCGTGGGTCGATGTACCGTGAACCGTCCAACTGACCGGTGAGTCGGCGGCTGTACCGTCCAACTGACCCGTGTGCTGTCGTCGACAGGTGTTTGCCGGCAACATGGACACGGCGACGGAGCGTCGTCACTACCTGAACCAGCCGTTCGTGGCCAGCTACATCCGGCTGCACCCGGTCGACTGGAGGAAGCAGATCGCCATGCGGGCCGGCGTGCTGGGCTGTCCGAACCGCGGCCTCTGCGGGCCCGGATACATCCGCGTCAACGAGGGCTCCCCATGCAGTGAGTGCTGCTTCAGTGTCCGAAAATAGCGGGGCTGATATCAGCGTGGGTCGCTCTGTAGTCTGTACCCATAGTGCTACTTTTGTGTGACGAATCATAGTTGCCTGAATAGGCCTAACTGATCGACGACTTCGATCGACGGCTTCGATTGACGCTGTTACCGTGCCTCATTTTACCTTCCTTTCTACAACTTTGTTCATGAAAGCTTATTGAGAAGCTTGACAGAATAACGCACATCAACAGTGGAGAACCTGGCGTACCAGCGTCCGACCTGGGTGAACGACAAGCGGCAGAGTTGGAAGGACTGGACGTACGGCAACTCCAAGCTGGCCGTGGACGGCGACGAGAGCCACCACCTCAACAAGTGCGCCATCCTGGACAACTATTACGTGGACAACCCCGTCTGGATGGTCGACCTCGGGCGCAGGAGGAAAATGAATGGAGTCGTGCTGGCTCTCTGGGACGGCAAGGGCGAAGGTAAACAATTGCACTCTTACCGTCAACATCGACACAGGCCTGCCGTTCAGTATTGTAGTACTTATCGTTTAGTGGGTGGATATACCTGTTTTTGTTATCGATTACCAATAGAATGTCAGTATTGCACAGCTTCAATGAATGCCACTTATGGCCAGTGTTTGGGGATATTCGAGTTATCTCCAAACAATGGTCATAAATCTCGTCCTGCCGTGTTTTAGGCTCATTAAATCAGCTGCTGTCGTGCATTATTCACTCAATTAGCTCTCCGATTAAATCACAGTGCGAGAATGCCGTCCCTGCCGTCTGTAACGAGTGACGCTGTGTTTATTATTCGTATCATTTCTCACCCTGTGCCTGCGCCGTCACCGGCAGACAACTCCACTCAGTACCGCGACTACGTGCTCAACCTGGACAAACTGAGCGTCTACGTCAGCAACAAGCAGCACCAGGTGAACGTGGACGCACGCTCCAGCCACAAGTGCGACTACGTCAGCCGAGAGAACGGCGCCCTGTTCCGGCCGCGCCTGCACGTGGCGTGTCCCAGGGAGCTGCGCGGCCGCTACGTCTACATCAAGGCGTACGGCGTGCCCAACCGGTGGCGCAAGCTGTTCACGGCGATCCTCTGTGAGGTGATGGTGTACTAGTGAGGCGGCGGGGGAGGCGTCCCTGTAGATCAGAGCGCCGTGCGCTGAGGACTCGGACAGAGCGAGCCGGCGATGCCCCCGCCGCCACGGAGCCGACCCGCGCCGAGCTGTGGCCGGCGGGCCTGTTTGGTTGTGTAGCTGGATAGACATTCGCGTGTGTTGTGTGTGAGTTGAGTTGGCGACAGTGAGATAGGGTATCTGTGACGTGTTTGTGGTTTGTGTCGAGCCGGCGGATGTGCTGTCGCTGGCCGCCGTTCGCGGACCGGCGGGTTAGCGTCGTCGTCAGATGTATAGAGCATTTTATGACCGTCAGCTGCCGTTTCAGAGTCATTTTGTGCTCAGCTGTCACGGCCTGAGCGTTATGGAAGGCCGCTGTAGATGTAGTTATGGCCATCTCGATGTTGTTCTAAGACATGTTAGGGTGTATATGCGGCGAATACCTCTTCATTCAGTATGTTCGTTAGTTTAATCATAGAATGTCTCCTGTCGAAATTATGCATTGTCTTCTCTTATTTAGGCATGTGAATTACGCTATTACCAGAGGAGCACTAAGCATGTCAGTGGTTAATTCATTTGTATCATGTTGTGACAAAAATGCAATGCGTAGGTAGCGTTTTTTCCTCATTTCGTAGGTAGAGTGCATCTAAGATAAATATGAAGCTGCTTTCATGGCGTCTGAAGTTGAAGCTCCCGCAGACATGATTTATGTTTCAGCAGATTTCAGGTATCTGCTGGATGCCCGAGCCGACGCAACCGCGAGTTATGTTTGCAGCTTTTGTAAACGATTGCCTAACATGACTGTTCGCGCGCCGTCAATGAGAAACGTCGTTCACGGGCTCTCAGTCCTCTATATTTTCTCCTCCATTCCTCCTCCTTCTTCCAGCGCTAACGGCCTGAGCCGATACCACAGAGCCTCGTACAACAGGAGCCAGGAGCCAGGAGCCGAGCCGAGCCTGAGCCGAGCCGTAACTAAAACACGCATACACACAAACAAAACAAGGTAAGTTCCAGACAAATAAATCCGTATCATAACATTGTTCAGTCGTATCACGATAATTTCAGAATAATAAGCAAAGCGCTTCACAATAACATCCGACATTTGGTACGATTTAGTGCTTACCGACAAATTGTCACTCTCCGGCGTAACGAACAAGGTTCATGCTTAAATTCATAGCCAAAATTCTTCCTTTTCACTCAAACAACATTTTTGCACGTCATCAATCACATCTTTCGTCTTTATCTTTCGTAATTATTCAGATTCTATCCAGACATTGTCAAAATCGAGCCGAAAGAAAGTAAACAAAACAAAACAATCCGGTAACCATAGCAACATAGCGTAGTTACCATAGGCGGAGGGCACCGCCGCTGAGCGGCGTCGCAACGGCACCGCTGCTGGGGGCCGTGCGGCGCTAACACCCGCCCCCTTTGAACCATCCAGGTTCAAAACCAACTTCTTAACTATACATATAACAACACATAGGCACACTGCACAGCCTACCGAAACAAGCGTCGCTGAGATCAGCATCAACACACGGAAGTAGAACGCATCCTATATACATTATACATGCACCGTTCCTGATGTCTATCATTGTGATTGTGTCATGAGCCTGTGTGGCGTGTCATGATCTTAAGTGTCCGGTGTTAATGACTTAGCGGTGTGCTGCTAGACTCATGCTGTGTTATACAGTGTAGCTGCAGCTCCATCGCTTCACCAAGACTGCTCTTCTGCGCCCAGAATCTTCACTACCTTCGTGACAGGTCTCAGGAACGTGGTTCCTCGAGCGCGGACCTTCACAGAGCGCACACGCCCGTCCTTACCCATCAGGGTCTCCTTCACGAGACCCAGCGGCCACACACCGCGTGGTACCGATTCGTCTACCATGACGACGACGTCACCGATCCGCAGGTTCGTCCGACTTCTCGTGGCAGCGCGAGATCGCTGCTGCAGGAGAGGCAAGTATAGCCGTCTCCACGAACGCCAAAACTGCTCAGCTAGGTAAGCAGCTTGTCGCCATCTCTTGGGTCCATCCAGGTCATCTTCACTTGAAGAATCACATACCGGTGTCACACACTTCAAATGCAGGATGTGATTCGGAGTCAGAGGCACCTCGTCACGAGGGTCCGACGAAACCGGCACCAGCGGCCGATTGTTCATGATGCACTCGGTTTCGCACAAGAGTGTGTGCAACGTCTCTTCTGTGAATGTTTGGCTGGTTAACAGACCATTCAGGATCTTCCGGACGCATCTGATGAGACGCTCCCACACACCGCCGTGGTGGGAAGCGGCAGGAACGTTGAACATCCATTCGATGCCCTTGTCCAGCATCGCTCTCTTCAGCTTCTCTTCGTTCGCGTGCAGTGCATCAACTTCTTCCTTCAGCTCCTTGTCTGCTGCTGTGAAGTTCGTTCCCCTGTCGGAACGCATCAGGCGAACGTTCCCGCGTCTCGCAATGAAGCGGCACAAGGCACAAATGAATGAGTCCGCAGAAAGGTTGTCTGCGAGCTCGAGATGCACGGCTCTCGTGCTGAGGCATGTGAAAATGACTCCAAACTTCTTCACCTGACCTCTACCTCTCTTGGCGTATAGCGGCCCGAAGTAATCTACACCAGTGCTACTGAACGGGTGAGTGGCCTCCTCTACACGATCCTGTGGCAAGTCTGCCATCTTCTGTCCCTCAACTGGGCGCTGTCGTCTTCTGCACTTCACGCATCTGTGCAAACACCGTCGTACTGCACTGTTCCCTTTCAGTACCCAGTATCGAGTCCTGAGTTCAGAAAGAACATACTGACGTCCTTCGTGTCCTGCCCTCTCGTGACGATCAGCGATGATCAGGTCAGTTACCTTGTCCTTGTCTGGGAGAATCAGAGGATGCTTGGCAGCCCAGTCCAACGCAGAGTTCATCAAGCGTCCGCGCATCCTGATGAGACCGTCCTCCACGAATGGGCTCATCCGCGACAGACGACTGGCACATCGCACCTCACGTCCCACTCCCAGGTCAGTCAGTTCTTGCAGAAAATGAGTTTTCTGAACATGCTTCACGATGATCCTCTCGGCATCTTCTATGTCAGCAGGAGTGAGCTCCCTCACATTCGAGGCTCCCTGCTCGTCTCTGGCCTTCAGCTGCAGAGTCTTGATCGTTCGGCGGATCCATGCCACTGCTCTCGTGAGTCTCTTCCATGACGAATGATATTCAATCAGACGATCGATGGGATTGGCGCTGGAGTTGTCAGCCTTCTCGTTCTGCACAACAACAGCTGCCGAACTTGTCTTCGCTTGCTTCACTTCCGGGTCATCCGGGTGAATCTCACCGACGCACGGAGACCTTGGCCAATTCTCCTGTGAGCTCCTGAGAAATGGCGGGCCGTTGTACCACATGTCGCTGTCTTGCAGTACTCCTCTTGAAACCATGTCAGCAGGATTCAGCGACGAGGGTGCGTACCGCCACTGTTCGTTCTTCGATCCAGCGTGTATCGCAGCAAGTCGATTCGCCACAAAGATGTGATAGCGCGAGGTCTCGTTCTCGATGTAACGCAACACGGTCGTGCTATCCGTCCAAAAGGTGACGTCATGGATCCTCATGTCCAGTGCTCGCAAGAGCTCTTGGTTCACGTCTACGGCAAGCTTGGCTGCGGCTAGTTCAAGACGCGGGACCGTAATCGCCTTGAGCGGAGCGACTCGGCCTCGGCTAAGAACCAGGGAACCGAACACTTCACCATCTCCGCGCACAGTGCGTATGTATGACGCGGTGCCATAGCCCTTCAGACTGGCGTCACTGAAGTGGTGCAGACTCACTGCATCCGCGGCACTTATGCCATATGGATCATAACATCTTGGCACGCGAACGTCTGGCAGGGACTTCAACCCACTCAGCCATCTGTTCCATTCTTCTTCAACTTCATTGGGAATGTCATCGTCCCAGCCGGTTCGTAGACGCGTCAGTTCCTGAAGAATCATCCGTCCTTGAAGAACGCGAGGAGCAGCCAGGCCTAACGGGTCGTAACAGGCTGCGGTCGCGGAGAGTATTCCGCGTCGAGTACGTGGTCTTCTGTTGAGAGCGTCTACGTCGATGCTGAATCCAAGCTCATCCTTGTGAGTATCCCAGAGTACACCTAAGACTCTCTCGCTTGAAGAGGTTTCCTGTCCAAGGTGAGTTTCAGTCTTTCCCTTGTCATCTTCTGATAGCGCTCTCAGAACTTCGGTGCTGTTGGAGTTGAACTTCGTGAGTCGGAAGCCACCCATGCTGCACAGCTGCTTCAGGTCCTGCGCCATCTTCGCAGCGGAGGCTTCTGACGTCGTCGATTGGCATACGTCATCCACATAGAAACTTCTTTGCAGTGTCTTCTTCACTTCGGGGGTGTATCCTGTGCCGAAGTCTTCTGCCGTCCGATGAAGAGCGTAGTTCGCGCAACTGGGACTGGATGTCGCTCCGAACAGATGTCTTGTCATCCTGAAGACACGTGGTGTTGAAGAAGTGTCGCCTTCTGGCCACCACAGGAAGCTCAGATAGTTCCTGTCGCTCTCCGGTACCATCACCTGAAGAAACATGGACTCGATGTCACCGGTAAAGGCTACCGTCTCTTGTCGGAAGCGGACTAGCACGTCCACCAGGGAGTTCGTCAGGTTCGGGCCTTGCATGAGTACATCATTCAGACTCACTCCATTGTATGACGCGCTGCAATCAAAAACTACTCTAAGCTTGTTTTTGGTCGGGTGATACACCCCATGGTGCGGGATATACCAGCGCTCTTCCTTTCCTTCTTCTGAGTCTGGTGCTGCTTCCTCAGCATATCCTTCATCCAGAAGCTTCTTCATCTGCTCCTTGTAGTCAGCTTCATTAATTGGATCCTTCTCGAACTTTCTTCTCAGTGATTCCAGTCGTCTTGCTGCCATCACTCTGTTGTCTGGCAAATCGGGTTTCGCATCTCGGAATGGCAGACCGATTTCGTACTTCTCTCCGTCCTTCTTGCATGTATCTTCCACCTTGAGGCACCACTTGACGTCCTCGACTGAGTAACCTCTGCGACTATCATGGCTGTCAAGGAACTCGAGCTCGGGATCTTCCAGCATCTTGATGCGGTTGACACGCGCGACGTGTGCACCTGGTCCCTTCTTCCCCTCAACGCCACAGACCAGCCAACCGTATCTGGTTCTGACGGCGTAGGGGCCCTTCTGACCTGGGCAGCTCACCACTTCCAATGGTTCTGACACCACGCTGGCGTTTGCACCGATGAGCAGGCCGATCTCTCTTGATGTCTTCTCAGTAAAACCAGCTTCAACTCCACGTTGTCGGAGATGTGGCCACTTGCTGATGTCTTCTTGTCGTACGATGTCTTGCTTTTCCACCGGTATGTGCTCTAGAACATACAACGCTGGAAGTTCAACTTGGTTGCCACCATCTTCAGTTCCGATACTGACACCAGTGACCAACGAGGTCTTCATTCTTCGCTCTCCATTGATGGTGGACATGACTACATATGTCTTCTCGTCTGGTTGAATGCCTAACTGACTTGCCAGCTTACGTGAGATGAATGAGTGCGTACTGCCAGGATCTATGAAGGCTCCAGTCAGCACGGACCGTTCCTTGACGTTGGCTGATACTGGAAGCACCTGCAGCTTTCCACCGCCTTCACACTCTTGTGACACATGTCCTGCCGTCACGACGTTGGCGTTGGGCAGCGCATCTCTGTGCATACTTGTAGGATGCGACTTCTCGCACTTCTTACAGCGGCTTCGTTTCTGACAGTTCTTGGAGATATGTCCTTCCTGTAAGCAGCCGAAACATAGTCCATGTTGACGTATGTAGTCAGTCTTCTCTTCCTCAGTCTTCGCCCCGAAAGCTCTGCAAGTCTCCAGGTCATGAGGATGCTCGCAGTAGGCACACTTGGCCGGTTGCTTCATGTTGCTTGCGTAAGCTCGACTTCTTCGTTCTTGGCGGAGCTGATGCTCCCGATTCTTCATCTCCTTTCTTGCAGGCTGCTGTGCTTTCTGCACGGTCGTGGCTTGCGGTCGTGTGTCCTTCTTCTCTTGAGCACTGAGCACATGTCTTCCATAGACAGGGTTGGACACGATTCTTGCTTCTGATTCGATGAACTCGACGAAGTCTCTGAAACTGACCTGCCTCTGGTCAGTCCTCTTCATTTCTCCGTCTTCTCTTCTGTCTCGTCTCTGATCCTGTTCGATCCTGTCGACCGCTCTGCGCCAGCGATCAGCGACCCACGGCGTCTTCTGAATGGCCTGGCAGATCATCCATGAATCAAACCCACTGTCTGCCAAAGCAGGTGAGTGAAGAGCGTTGAGAGCACCTCGCAGAAACACTGAGTAGTCATCAAGGCCGTTCACATCTTCATATCTCACGCGCGGGTAGTTTTGAATCTTCTCGATCACTGATGCTCTGGACTTCATCGCATTGTCATATCTCACTTTGAGTAGACGAATAGCTTCACTGTAACCATCATCACCCAGGTAGACGCAGGTGGCTACAATGTCATGAGGCTTACCTTTGGTCAGCTGCAACAGGTACATCAGCTTCTCTTCTTCAATCTTCCCTGTCCAGCCTACATGCAATGTTAGACTGGAAAGCTGTGATGAATGGTAGGAAGTCTTCTTCGGTTCCATCAAACGCACGTAACTCCAATGGCTGAAGTCCGATTCTTCTCATCACCAGCCTGTCCGTTGTGTTGAGATCCATTTGCTGAACTGAGCCAGCCGACTTGTCATGAGATGCTCTTCCTGCGCCTGCATGTCTGTCTTCTTTCGTTTCATTGTCTTGTTTCTTGTCATTGTGACACGCCGTACTTTCTTTCGATTTCGAACCGAATTTCATGTAACACACTGTCCTATCTCCGAGCCATGTGGACCGATCGATTCTCGATGCGCTTCGCTGCTCCATATAAAAGCAGCGGCGACACGAGCGCGCGGACACTCTTACCCCGTTTACATGAGTCAGCGAAAATGACGTTTAGAACGGATATTTCCGTTTAGCGAAAAGTGCGCAAGTTTCGACTCATGTAAACTGGTTTGGGCGCGCAAAAATGACGATTACGCGGAACGGAAATATCCGATGAATTAATGGGAAATATCCGTTTAGGACGTCAGGCCTAAACGGATTTTTTGCGCATCTAGCAGAAAATGACATGAATATGCATGTTTTATAGATGAAATTTTTTAGTTTACACATCAAAATACATGTTTATGTTGAATGGTAGGTCTAATGACAATGAAATCCACTTTTTGCCC